AAATCTGTCTACCTGAATAACTCATGGCCAATGTGTACAAGTGTGTGCTTGTGCAATGGTTAAGGTACAACAGTGACTTGATTGTTTGGAGAAATAACATGACTGGCTGGTTAGCTCCTCATTGCCTCAGTGCTCTCCCTAGTCCATAGGGATAATTCTTTCTTTCCCTATTTCATACAAATATTCTCACATCAACAAAACAAGCATACATCAACACTTCCGAAAGTCCCAAAGACGTCAAACATAACAAATATTAAGAGAAAACTTTTTTTTCCTTTTTTTTTTTTTAAAAGACGTGATGTTATATGCTAACTATCCATTGTGGACACACACATACACAAAAACATACATACCCACACACACAGTCTGATGCCCAGTGATCTGGAAATGAAAAGAACACTAATGCAAAAATGCCACCCAGCCTGGAACAAAGATAAGGGAAAAGGGACCTGGGAAAGTGGGGTCAGGTTTTAGTTTGGATCTAATGTCCAAAGCTGTAAACAGTCAGAAAGCCTTGCAATGGCTGGCAACAACAACAGGAAAGGGGGAGGGGGGTTGCTATCATGGTACAGCCCCAAGCAGGCAAGCACATAACTGTGACACTGGCAGGAAAAGATGGAGACAGCCAGCAGATTCGGGTACTCGGCGATACGGGAGAGAGGCTTCAGCTGAACGCCTAGGTCAGTCACTCTCCTCTGGATTCTGGGGGTCTATGATTTTGACATGGGTGAACGGGAAGAGACCCCTCCGTCCGTTCACCTCTCCCTCCCACTGACCGCTGATGTTCATCCGCGTAACCTTGACAATGTCACCAACCTGAGAAAAGGAGGAAAGAAAGCAGAGTTACAGGAGAACTGGTGTCAAAGTCTAACCTAATTACACACAAGACATTCTGCACGATGCAGTATTGGGGAGTTGTTTTGTGCCATTTAAACATTTTAGTCAGAAACTTGTAAAACAAAACTACAATCTGTGTCTTACAGTAGTCAGTCATAGGCCCAATTAAAAAAAAACTAAATCCTTATGACAAGTGGCTTATGTTTGTTTTAAAGCCTGTTCCAAACTACAACAATAAACCCTTTGAGGTTACAGAACATCCAGTCTGATTTATTAATACACGCTTTCTAAAATAAAACCCAGACTGTCAGATCTCCACTGTCACATTACACCGCAGGTTAAAAGATGACAGAAGAGCGCCGAGCTGTCGCTCAGATGGTTTGTGACACTGCGTGTGACCCCAATCTGTTAAAGCCATATGTTCTTTATCAGGATTAGGAGGGGGAAAAAGTCCATCATCAAAACCACGACTGAAAATACGATGTGAGGGCACACCAGTGTGGCATCGATTTGAATGAAGCTTCAAATCCTGTCCTGGACTTTGGAACTACAACGATATCACTCTCAAATGACAAGTATATGATGTATACAGTCATAAAAAGTATTAGTGAGATCTGTCAAAAAGTCAGAAAAGGTCAGGTTTGTACGTTGAGAACTTCATAAGGTTTAAATTAAGGTGTTAAATGTTGCCTTATGTCAAGTAGATAGAAATCTTCAGCCAGAAAAGCATTGTTATTTAAGAATGCATGTTTTAAGTATTTTGAATATTAAAAAGAGAGAGAGAGAATTAACTACTAATAAGCTACAAAGGGGGGGGGGAAGCCTAAAAACATAACATATTGAAGGCATAACTTGATTTTATCTGCCTGTATGTCCAGTCGCAGCTTCTATATCCTGAACCTCGTGATCTAAAATAGTCATGCCACAAAATTAAAGATTCTGTGCATTCAGTGGAGGCAAATTCGAAGCCAAAAATAACCGTGGAAACACCGCTTTAGCTAGTGAAAGTTTTTGATGCCTTTTTTCAATTAACCAACTATAATGAACACTGGTGAAATGTAGATACTTAAAATTCTGGGTGCTCTTCTTTGTCTTGAACTTCTACAGCATCATATCCATTTAGGCAGAGCTTTTTGCAGCATGCTACACAGTATATTTAAAAACCAAAGACTTAGAAAATGTGGATACATTGAAATAGATGGTGTACAAATCTGGAATTCCAAGAGCTTCCAGATTTAAAAATAAATAAATAAATAAAAAAATAAAGACAGACCCAACCGAGAGGAAACTCTCTTGTGGGAATCACCTTTTATGACTTGAAGTTATGGAGTTGTGTAATTGTAAAAGTACAGCAGAAAAAGTCAATAAAGCTTTTTAAGCTGCGTCAGTTCATTCAAAAGTTATGACGCACATTAATAGCCAGAGTCTGTGATCATATACTGTGTATCAATCAGAGGCTGAAAGGGGGCACACACCGACAGCTGTGAACAGCAAAGCTTTGTTGACAGGCGAATGGTGACTTGGGCTTTAGTCAAATTGCAAACCAAAATTGTCGGGAATTGCAAAATAGAAAAAGCAAGGCTGCAGATTACGCAAATGAACAAGGAAATGCATAACCAGGAGGAGGTTTTCGATTAAGGAATGCTGCCCCCCCCCCCAGTATTCACATTTTGAGAGACATAAGTAGCGGAGGTATCCCAGAGAACTAACCAGCAGTAATTAAAGCTGTATCCATATATACATTCAGAGAACCTTATGGATATCTACATTTGTAAGTCTTCACAGGACCGTAAACACACAGAACCTAGATTGAATATGCAGATTCCTTAAATGAAGCTCAGTTAAGAGAATTCAAATCGGGACTCTGCAGAGTGAACCTATTGAACCATTCAAGTGCTGCCCATCTTTAAGCAGGTACAAGGGCTATCACTATCCACACTAGAGAGAAGACTGTGCCAAGAAACAAATCTGCATTTGTTGCATGGACAATGTAACGAATGCAGCAACACTGAATCTGGAACAGTTTCATTACTTTACTCTGAGGAAGACTGGCGCTGGTGGAAAAGTGGTGATACATGTATCTGACCATGAGCTTTCTGTTCCTAAAGCTGGAAGCACTGACGTCAAAGACTTTATCTATGATGCAGATTTCAACAACTACCATTATTATTATTTTTTCTCTGTGGAAATCAATCCAACCATTGCAATTTAGCACTGTGCAACATCAGGTATTAAAAGTACTTCCACATCAAAGTTGGGGAATGAAACCTCCTGTTGCTTTATTGTTACTTATGTCCAGTTGAAATAAACTAATACTTGGAGTTAGGTGGAGCTCGCCAATGCAAATAGATGTGGCAATTTCTAAAACCTGCGATGACAACATGAAATGGCATAACCTAGGATGAACCGTGGGAACGCATTACCCATATCACCCTGAACACAGGTCGGTGATTACAAGTTGGGAAAAAGAATCAAAACAGTGTCACAGAAAATTTTGGTTTTGTGACATTTACAACTAAAATATAAATAAATGAAATGGAAACAAAAGAAGCAACAATGAAAATGGATGCCAATCGGATTTAAATCAATCCCTGATTAATAATAATCATTTTAAAAAAATGTTAGGTCAAGTTTATTTTTATTCTCACATGTTAACATTTTTAATGCCTTCAGGGGCCAAAGTTTGCTTTTTGCCAAACTCTGGTGGTTTATTAAAAAATAAATAAATAAAAATAAAACGAGTTAATTCCGATTCCGGACAAAACATCTAAAGCTGTTCACCTGAAGGTCCATCAGACCAGCTTGGGGAATCTCTTAGAAACAGAGAAAATGTACTCTTCACTTAACTAATGACACGAGCCAGCAAGCATTATACGAGCATCTATGCCGGCACCAACAAATGCACTGTTGCATCAATAATCATCTCAGATGTACTTTTGGGAATCATGCATGTACCGAGAAGAGCCACATTTAACTTTAATATTTCATCTCTTGCTAACCATGGCTCCATCTGCTGCTTCACTGCTACACCATATGATCACAGAGAAAACGTAAGCGGCAAACACAGTCCCGCCTCAAGTTTCAGTTCTCACATGCTCACTCTTGACTGCTCATTCGGGTGCGGTGCAACCCATCTTTCTTTACAGCCGTCCCTTGGCCTCGTCTCTTCCTCTCTTCTATCTATTACAGTAAGTTACATGAACATTTATTAAATGGAAGCTGGAATCTCATTTCGGTGCTAATAAAAGATGGGCGACAACAGGCCCAGAAGGGTGCAGAGACACTGGCCAGCTGATGCATCTTGTTTATGCACTCAACCAGCATCGCAGTTTGAGTCTAAATGAGGTTAGGGACATTTTTTGAGGTGACTGCTATTAGCTGTCGATTACTTAACAACACATCAACGAAACAACCCCCCCCCCCACACACACACAAAAACTGCTTAACCTTTAGCAGGATTCAGATATGCTCAATTTACACTCATTTATGTGCAAGAAAGAGTCACAGGGAGGAAGTACTTCTCTGTATCCATATCTACTGCCCTATTTTACACCTATAACTGCTGTCAAACTGATGGGAGTGAATGGAAGTGGCACTATTTTAAGATAGCTTGCATTCTCATCCTTCCCCTGGGGTGAAAAATAAGAAGATAAAAAAAACCAACAAAAAAAAAAAAAAAATACACTACAGCTCAATCTGCTACTGGAGCTGAGTGTTTTGAAGGCCCACTATATTTCTGAGGCACATATTGAGCATTGCATTGCATGTTTCGACATGCCACCACAGTCAGAGCAGATTTGTATTAGCCACAGCGTACCACTGAGGAAGGCAAGACTGCTGAGAAATGCTTTCGTCAAAGCCGCTTCCAGGTTAGCATTTAGATGGACAGCACTGAGTGTAAGCTTCAGTCACAGAGACAAGTGATCAAAAGCCACAATGCTGTGGTGAGTTTCACTAGATTCCCCACCCACCCTCCCATTTACATCTGCAAACTTTTGTTTTGCATTTATTATTCATCGTTCCAAGAATCATATTAAGCTCTCTCAAACCACCCATCTCATATCTGCATGACTTTTGGTCCAATCCAAAGCCAGAAACTTGTTTTTTTTTTTGTTGTTTTTTTTAACTATCCAAGGCTACAAAATAGATGTGGTTCATGTATTCTGACTGAACAGCAGCACCCCATAACCAAAGGATCTTTGTGCAGCCAGTGTCCAGAACTAGTTATGAACTTGCAGATAGTCTCCTGGTGTAATAATAACTTTTTATATTCAAACAAACAGGAAGGGCCTGATAAGAGCAAGCAGCAAGATGCTAAAACCACAGTTTGGTTATTATTCTTTTAGTGTTAGCACACATCAACAGGCTAGAATGTCAAAAGGACTGAGAAAAGGCGAAGCTTATCTGTAGACACTTTCTCACATTGAACCAGCAAAACTACTGCGGTAACTGAAGGCGGCACTGGTGTTTCCCCAGGTCCCTCTACTACTTAATTTTGCAATTTTAGTATAAAAAGAAGTGATAGTTTTACACATAAGCCTCTCCAAGCTTTGGTCACACAACCTAATTTTTATAAGAGTTAACTCTTGAGATTGGCGATTGTTGTCTATGTTTAAGTAACCTGACAGCTCCTAGAGAGATGTCAGGTTGTGAAAATGTAAAAACAAAGTCTTCTATAAAACCTCTTAGCTTCTGTGACTTCTACACAAGTTTTTTTCAGTGTTTTAACTTGACTGAGGTGATAAACTAATTTATGTAGAAAAGTCTAAGCTGCACACAGACATTTTTGATTTATTTGGGCACAAATGGAAAAATAATTAAGAAATGACTGAAGATGGGATACTGCTGCTTTAGGCAAAGAAGCTTATAGCGTGTTGTACTCCAGGCCCTTACCTGGCATATTAATTTACTGCATGATGTTGCGTTACAGATCAAAGGTCCAGCTAAACAGATTTTAGAAAAGCTAATGATTTAATTACAATATCCATCCTTCATAAAAATGAGCAGTGCATTAAAACATGATGAAATCACATTGATCGCCTAGAAAAAACACAAAAAACAAAAACAAAGAAATAAAACAGGTAAGATCAAATAAATACAATACCTCTAGAGCAAGAGCAGTCTTATCGTAGGCACAGGGCACTCGTTTCTGGATGGCTTTCGCCATGACAGGGCCGTTCTGCATGGACGGTAGCGGAGCGATAACCGCTCCAGGTGCGTTGGGCATTGGAGAAGGCGTCTGGGGTTGGGCATAGGCATGAGCAAGAGCATTGGAGGGCTCAGGGATCCCATAGCTGTTGGAGTTTCGCGATCCATGAGAAGGTTGGCCAGGGTGGGGTGAAGGTCGTACCACTTTCTCTACGTAGGGCACAGGGATCATCCCAACACGTCCATCTTTATTCTTGGCGCTCCACCACTGCTCCTCCGGTCTTTCCAGGATGATAAGGATCTCCCCCTTCTTGAAGGGAAGGTCCTCAGCATCGCTGCCGGTGAAGTCGTACAGAGTCCGCACATACTCCAGATTCTCCTCTGCTCCAACCATGGGCTGGACAGGAGGACTCGGCGTACTTGAATACCTTAGCAAAAACGAAAAATAATGAGGAAATTAAGTAAATGTTAATTTGTTATCCTTAAAAGTTATCACTGTGAAGCCTAGAATACAACAAAACTGCATTATTTGTTGAATAAAATCCTTTACAAACACGATTACCTAACTCCTCAATTACCAAAATGTGGTATCAGGTTTGGTTGTAAAACCACACAAATCCTTAGTGAGGTTTATTTTTCCAGTGGTACCAACACTTAAAAGAAAAAAAACCCCAAACAAACAAACAAGCAAGCAAACTAGATGTGTGGTAATAGTGCTGATTTTATGACATAACCGAGTGAAACTGGGTTAGTTCTGATAAAAAAAAAAAAAATAGTATGGTAAAGTGCTGGAGGAGGCGTGGTGGGTGACCTCCCTACCTGGGGGCTGGCTCTATCAGCGTGGTCGTATCCAAGTAATGGATTTTGTAGAACTCCAGGAGAGCTGCGAGGTGGTCGAACTCTTGATCCCCTATTTTGAACCTCTTGCTGGGCAAAGAGTTGATGATATAGTGAGACACTTTGGAGTTTTCCGACACCGACAGTACGTAGTCGCCGGGGCAGGTCGACGAGTCTCGAACAAGAAACATGCCATGTCTCTGTCCTTGTAACCTATTCTGTGCCTCCTGTCGTGACACGGGTCCAAAATACCAGGCGGACCGATCAGAGGAATCAAATCGAGCAGTTGACATTTCTGTTCAAAAATAAGTTAATGTGGCTTACAAATTAATATTAATAATAATAGAAAGGAAAATACTACAGGATTGGCTAGGCAATAAGTTAAAAGATGTATGCGTGGTTCCAATTGGCCAATCACAGCAAACTGTAGGATTTGGAAGACTCAGGGCAGGGCACTCGTCGCTCTGGAAGGAGTTTCCGAGTGATTTCTTCACAAAACGCCTCAGGCACCGAAAAAATCTGTTTAAGAAAAACAAAAACAACTTGGCGTTTTTGTTTTCTTTTTTTCTCCTTTCAGATGCAGGCTGCCAGTGACTTGATCCAACTCTGGAGCATACTGTTGTCCCTGTGTTCCGCAGTCCAGGCTGCGGCCGAGCAGTTGTTAAAAGGGGGCCAAATAACAAGAAAAACGAGCAAACTTACGACAGGCTACCATTGACGGAGGGCCAGAGCAACAAACGATCAATGAAGCTTCCCCTTTTCGTTCCGCCTTCCGAGAAAACACCAAATCTTCTCTTCTAATAAATGTATCTCCTCCAGTCAGTGTCAGTTCTAAGAGCGGAAAATGTGGCCTCACTTTCCCCCCTTCTTCTTCCTTTTTCTTACATCTGATAATCCCTCATCTGTGCACAAAGGTCCACGGCAGGTCACGAAACTATCAGCCGAAATCCCGCGGAGCTCACGGCGATACACACTTCATGGAAACGCGTTTTCGAATCCCCTTTCTCGAGTCGGAGCAGACTTTTGAAGCAACACAGCAGAAAAATGGCGGCTCGCAACACGTCTTCACACAAAAAAATGATTTGAGGGCAGCGACTCGTCTCTTGCGCGTGCATCTCAGGAGCCACGACCGTTTACTGGAGCTGTCGCGTGCATCCCCGACCGCTCACAAGGGATCTCGGCTTAACGATTGCTTTATTTTATACTTTCCCTTATTTCCGCTCGTCCCCACTAGCACAGGCTACCAGAAGTACTGAGGTCGAAAAATGGCGACCGGAGGGCAGGTCCCGCTTTCTATCAGCGCGTCACTGACGGCAGGAGCGAGAGAGAGGGGAGGGGGAGTGAAGGAAGGAGGTGGGCGGTTGGCGAAGCCACGGACAGCCCCTAGCTCCGCGAGAGTAGGTGTCAGTCATTTCTCAGTGAAGCATTCTGCTGATAGATTCTTCTGCTGTTCCATCGTCTCGGGAATATAGTGCAAATAGCAATGTGGAGCAGGTCGAGAAACAAGTGTGTTTTTTACTCAGTGTTCCTGCTTTGACGTAGTCATTTAATTGGATGTTTGCTTTTCAAAACTTCAAAGGGAATCAGCGTGTGACTCAAAAATATAATAACACAGTTTAGTATGGCTAAACCTCAAATAAATGCTAAACCAATCCAGCAGAGGCTAAGCAGTCAGGTCTTAAGTAGGCAACACTGATGTTAAAGGCTGCTGTAACATACTAAATGTGTATGAGAGCGAGGTGTTATTTCAGTTTAAATGCCCACACTGTCATTAGTTGATTCTTAATTGGAAATATGTGTAGGCAGTGTTTCACAGTCATAGCTGGTTCTGTTAAATCTAGGCTAATTTAACTACTACTTTTACCGTACAACATTGGAGCATATTTTTTGCGATCTATTGCAGCTTTGAAGTACTGTGGAGTAGAAAGTGCCAATATATGTGCTTTTGACAGGTAGTTATATAGGTGTGTGAAGAGAAGCATCATGATTGAGCTTTTTTTCTAGAAATAGAAACATTACTCTATCAAATGATTCACAGATAGAATAAGCTATAATTCTGAATAAAAAAAAGTTAGATGTCTGCCGAACAACGTGTTCTTATGTTAGTACTGTGTTTAATGATTGTCTCGGATCTTTTTGTGTTCTGTGCCTTTAAGTCAGTGGTCAGCTCGTGTGTTTTTAATATACTTTTTTAGCCACATAACCGCAGCTCATAGGTACAGTATATTTGCTCAGTCAACAACTTATTCATACCACCAGTATAAAATTGTACTTATTTCCCATTTTCATTTCCTGGTGTTATTTAACTTCCCCTTCATTCATTCGATAATAAGTATTATCTGGCAAAGAACTGTGAAAAATCGATTTGGAGCTCACCCAAAATGACCCAATCCAAAACAGAATATGCTGCAGAGAGAGCGCGCATTTAAATGCAAGGGGCAGTGTCTCTGAAGAAGAAGAATGCAATATAAGAGAAAGAATGCATCTGAGAACACAAGCAGAGTGCGGCAAGCCATTCAGCCAAGCAGAATAAGTTTTGCTCAGTGATAAAAGCAGGATCTGTAAAGAAGCTCTGTCCCTGTGGTGACTGAGCTTTCAGTGGCCGTGCCTCATGAGGCTACAGCTGGCACAGAACAGCTCTCATCACTGAAACACTGTCTGAATGTTAATAGATTTGCACCCACCGAGACTTAATGGCTTAAGCCTGCCAACTCCCACATTTCCACAAAGATGCAGTGCTGCAACTAATTGAAAAGAGAAACAAAAACAGACTAGTTTACTTCGAATTATGGGTAAAAAGGTTTATATTGGCTTCAACCTCATGCTTTGATGCATTTAAAACTAGGGCAACTTTTCATTTAAGTGATGGGTTTTGTGGGATTTTGCAGGGTGAGACATACAGTACCTTTATCTGACCTGCTGTCTAACCTTGTATGTAGATGCACACTGAAGGTTTCTTCACAAACATCACCATCTAGTGGATGTACACAAAATGCAATGTCTGCCATCATCCCATTATCAATAGATTTTGTTGTCTGTCTGTGTGGCAGGTTAAGGTTAAGCGATACTACAGGTCCAAACGTAATGAAACGTGACATTTTGACTACCTAACAGCAGTTCCACAGTCCTTCAAGTGCTCTTTTGAAGTACCAGCTGCTACAAAAACCCACCATACTAAAATGGATAACTTCAGGTCAGCACACATGCAGAAAAGCCTAGAAAAGCTGGTTCTTCAACCCAAAACCCCATCTGTAACTGGTTTTGCAATAGCTTATAAAACGTTTGACCTCTGTTAAACTCACATCAACACAGTAACCTTGAATGGCTGCTTCTTTTAGCTCAGTCTCGATGCCCTGCAGTCTGAAGATTAAATGCACAGATGACACAACCACCCTTGACCTAATCGGTGGTTGATGAGTTGCTACACAAGGAACTAGTGAACAAAACCTGTGATCTTGTTCTTTGCGCAGGCGAAACAAAAAGAAAAGTAATTATGGCCTGAGAGGCCCCCTCTCCACCCAGCTTATTTTTCGGCTGCAGAAGACGCAACCTAAGACACTGCAGAGAGCATCGCCACAGTTTAATTTCAGGGAGTCAGATTGTGTGTAAGCCATTAGTCTGCAAATAAATGCCCCTTCCCCCCGATTCATTCACACCACTAACACTTAAGACTTCATAAGAAACTTACACATTTTACAAACCATCTACTGCTTGTGCCTAACTATGTATCCTGTGAGAAAGTTAAAGGAATTCCAGTGTAGTGATGCAAACTGCAGTTAATTATAATTTAAATCAAGTTTTGAAGAGGATGATTACACGATGCAGGATTAGACCTGTGTCGGAAAGGTCAGTTTCTCTGAGACTGTAAATCTTGCTTAAAAAAAGCTTCTTATTTTATTTTAATTTTGAACAAATTATAGATACTAAAGCTCCTGAGCACAGTTGCAACCTTGCTCTCATGTGCCAGAACACAAACACAGAGTTTACCTTCACAAATCCTGCCCAGGGTCACACATACAGACATACAGGAACAAGATCCTCTTAAGTTTTTACCATATATTATAAAATCTCTGTATCCTCTATCCATGCAGTCTCTGGAAGTGTGGCGAACTTCTGAAATACTTAGCCTCTCCTATATTTTATTTTAACATCCTATCACATTCCTGATCGTTGTCACCGGCATTCAATTCAAAGTTGAGCATGCTTTGATGTGAAGACTGACAACAGACAAGCAGTACACTGGTAATTATGGCCCGAGATGCTGCTGTTAAAGTGTCAGTGCATTTTTAGACCAGTGTAAGGGTTTATATAGATGAGCGACTCACTGTTACAGCCTCCATGGCATGAGTCACCTTTCACCTCTCAGCCTGGTTTCCTAGAATATCCAGTCAGGTTTCTGTAAAGGTGTAAAGGGAAACCTGTTTACATGCTACTAAATGGACAGATAGATAGATATCCATAGATATCTTTAAATACTTCTAGATTTCTACAGGTACACCAGGTTCACAATAAAGGCTTCAGACAAAGAATTTTCACCCACTTCATTACTTCCTCATGTTTCAGTTTGTTGTTGCTTTGGTTCACGTTTTTAAACAAGCCACTTCCTCATAGCATTTCTAAAACTTTAAGAAACCACACTTTTCTCTTGTTTCTTACAATATCACATAGCATTACCTGTGACAACTGCATGCTCATAGTCTTACCTTAACTTTCTAAACTTTTTTGTTCTCACTAATTATTTTTTCATTCAGTTAGTAAAGAGTTAATACAAGACCACGGCCTAATTTAGCAGAACTGACAACGTTGCTGTAGCCAGGCCTGTCGAGTGGCCAATTCTCCTTTTGGTTATTTTAACTTCCTTGTTTTCAGCGCAGCTTTCATATGACAAGCAGGTTCAATAAAAAGGCACACCACGGCTTGTTTATTTTATTCTGTTTCAACTTTATGCAGTGTTTATACTATAAATACATGTCCAATATAGATGTTATGCATGAATCAGCAACTAAAGGAGCCTGTGAGGGTTCTTCTAGAGAGAAGGAATAAAGGGATCACAGTCTGTGAAGCAGAAAATGATTCATAAACCATGTAAAGAGGACCGCAGTTGGGCTTAATTAAACACAAGTAATGCTCCACATAAACAAAGAAATCAAAGCTTTAAATACATTTCTTAATATATCTAATTATCGCCGTAAACTGCGCACTTTGGCAAATCTTCAGCGATCAAAACCTAAGTGACATTTCACTTCTCTTAAACTGACAAATCCAGTGTTTGCAGTGGTGTATGACCTTAGAAACCAGTGCTAACATAACAATAGGACATTTATTTAAGGCAGGATCACCTGTTGCCTATTTTGTGTCATTATATCTCAAATACGACACTCAGCATGCAAATAACTCTCCACACGATTGGTCCACTAAAAGGAACAGTATCCCGAAGAGTCAGGCGCAAAGGGAAAAATTTAAAAGAACAGCACTGTCTTGTGCAGAGGACATTTATACCCTTTCATCCTTATGCTTAAACTCAAATTGTAAATGATTAAATACTAATGCTTGGCCAGTAAAAATCATTAAACTGCTCTTTAGCACACTGAATGACAAAAAAAGTGGCTTTATAAAAAACAAAGTGTGCTTTTATGCTTGCTTTTTTTGTGAAGTGACAACAAGCCACAAATGTCCTGAAACTCAATGGTTGAAAAAAAAAATATTCCCAGTGAAAAGCTGAAATCAGTCCTTCTGCTATGTAGAAAAACTAAAAAAAATCCAGGCCTTATAGAGCATTATTTGTGTTATCTGTCCATCTTACACATCATTATGAGCAATAATTGTCAATAAACGTGACGTGTCTGTATAGGGTTTTTTTTCCCGAGCAGCAGACATTTTGACATGCCATGACAGGAAGCACACAGGTGTGTTAATGATGGTTGCATTCCACTTAAGGGAGGCGCTTCCGTACGGCATGCTGCTTCACACTGGCAAGGCTTACTGGAAGAGGTAATCCAACTGGGCCGTCATTGACTAAGTGTTGTGCGATTCCTGCTGCGACCACTCTATCCTGCTCAACTTTATGACATCATAAAACATCATCAATCAGAAATGCTTTATTTCATTATATACCACAGAAATATGCTCTGGTATTTGTGTTCCTGTCACTGAACAGCCCTTCTCAAACGGTCTCTCTGCACAGCACGGGACCTCTTCTGTCTATCTGCAATGTTGTAGCCAAGGCTCTGTTTGAGGGCAGGGAAGACAACCCCAGACTGAGATGTTCCACACCTGGGAAAGGATATGTGGATTTAACTCTGGGTGACAAACATGCTTGGCTTTTTTTTCTTTTTGACTCAGAAACCTCGATCTCTCTTGCAAAAGGCAACTCTGGGCTATTATGCAGCCAAGTTTTGTGAAAATTAGCACAACAGGGCTTTGAGGAATCTGTTTTGTGCACTGTGACAGAATACAAAATCAGACAAAATTACATACTGTTTTTCTGGGAATGATTGAAGGCCAAGTTTTGGTAATTTGTTTTCTTCTAAAGACCCGCTGAAACACACAAAGAAAATTAGAAACTGTTATCATAATTTTGCTGCTTTGAAGGCTTTTGTATGTCGCTGATGATGAAAATGATAATGCCACTTCACCGAGTTCCATCTGAAAGGTAGGCCTTAGCCATGATGTACTTTTCTGGGGTGATTTTCTTGTTTGAAACGATGTCTCTGAGCAGTGCTTTCACACGCACGATCTAGATGACACAGGGTTGTACTTTAAGTAACTATTTTAAAAGCCACAACAAACAGAGCTACTAAAACACTGAATAGCTAAGCGTTGCCCTTCAGGCACTTACCTCCTGAGACTGTAAGCTGTTAGCATTATATAGCTGTCGGATGATGATCTCACACTCCTGTAGTGTGGGGGCCCGTGGGGGCTGGGAGGAACTGCTGTGAATTCGGAGAGGCTGCAGTGAAGTGATGAGGCGCCCATTGGCCTCCGTGCCATGGTCCTGCCTGGCTGAATCCAGAATTTCAGTGCTTGCTCCAATGCTACTGCAAGTCAATGAGATAATGTCATTGAGGGCGATGTATAACATGTATAAGGCAGTTTAGGTTGAGAATACCTGGTTGTTAACTCCCCCCACCCCCACCCCCCCACAGACAGGGGACTAGGTTCAATTCACTGGCCCACTTTGCTTCCAGCAGGATAATTCATGATGTCTCAAAGCTCAGATCATTTGAAACTGCTTTCTTGAACCTGATAGTGGATTCCTGTACTCAAATGGCCTCCACAGTCACCAGATCAAAAGCCAACCTGGTACTAACAGGTCAAGAAGTTTATAGACATGTAAAAAGGCACATATTCCAGAAATCAAAGGGCTCAGACTGCAGACCAGACCAACAAATAACTAATTACATACTGGCTTTTGCTTCTTTACATGCTTCACGTTCATATCCTCATGCTGTTTTATAGTGTTAATTTAACATGCACTATAATACTTGTGCACCTACATCACTACCTAATATGAGACAGCTGACATCTTGTTTTTCTGTAAAGTGATTAAAACACAGAGCTTGAATTAGTGTTCTCCTGCTTTTGATGGTTGCCTTACAGTAGGCTGTTATCTGAGCTTATCTGAGTATCTGCTTAGTAAGTTATTAATGAATGGCTGTTGTGCCATCATATCCATATTACTGCATCTGAATCTAATTTATCCATCAGTTCTTGTGTGCATAGCTTTGAAAAAAAAAAAGGGGGGGGGGAGCTAAGATAATTTATGAAATATAACCATACTTTGTAAATACTGAGCTAGATAAGTAGCTGAAAAAGGCCCACCACTCACCCGAGAGCCTGGTCCTGCAAGAGTCTCATGTCCTGCAGTGGCTCCTCCACGTACAGTCCAGTATGGGCTTGACTGCCCTGAGTGGGTGGTCTACAGTTTTGTCGACTGTGTGCAACTCGTAGAAGAAGAAGGATCAGACATTAAGTTTAGGTGGCACCTAAATGAAAACCTAATAAGTCATTATATGTGCTTAAACATGTTACCTTTTCTACTTGACTTAGGAGGCTCCATTATCAGCTTATACTTCAACTCTGCAACATCCATAACAACAGAACTTTAATGTACTGTACACTGCAGGTGGGCTTAAACAACCAGTAAGCAACCCATGAGTCAAAACAGGCCTTGCTGCAGCAAGGATGCAACGACGGATGACCGGGGAGTCTCCTGGTGGGTGGTGATATGTTATTATATGGAACAGCATGCGGCTCGCTCTGCAAAGTGACACCGGATATCTGCCCACCTCCCACTGAGAAATCATTAAAACTAAACTCTGGAGTTGCCATGCGTCCACCATACCTAGCCTGACCTTGTCTTGTCAGGAGACAGGAGTCACAGACTCTGTGAATTCTTTAGATAATTATTTGACTTTGTGAGCCATGAAATAGGGTGGTTTCTTGAATGCCACAACCCTTCAAAATTCCCCACAGGGAATAATTGAGTGCTCTATCTGTCTAACTATCCACTATTAAAAAATCTCAGAAAGGCCAAATTACAGCATTAATTAAAGGCATGTGAAAACTTACTTTTGCTTACTTCATTCATTCCACAAAGCATTCTGCTTTTACTGCTTTTAAAAAGACCTAAGGCCTGCTGTCACTGACTTCTATGCTTTTACAAATAATTAACTTACACATACAAGAGTTATGAATGCACTGTTTCTTCACCTTTATTCTCCCGTCTGAGGTTCTCTATCTCTGCGTGGAGCTTCTTCAGTGTTTCCTTGTGCTGTTCTTGTAGGAACTGGACGTTTCTTTGCAGTGAAGCAACTCGGAGGTCCGTGCTGCCGCTCTGACAGGACGTCTCTGCCGCTGCTCTGCCCGCTGGCTTGATAACAGGTAGCGGGAGCCGCTGTTCAGGGTTAGCCGGTAAGCGTCGTAGCGAGCAAGGCTTCTCTAGCCGCCCTCTGGTCCAGTGTGGCAAATGGCGCACCGGTGGCAGGTTATGACTTGACATCGCTCTCCGCTTTAGTACTTCAGGCCTCCCCTGACTGAAATAGCTCGCTGTTTCACCCTTCCCATTGTTTTCCAGTGAAGACAAGTTAGCTATAGGTACTCCTACTTATAACTATTTTCACGCTCGTTTGGCACGCGCTCGATCATACACAACGTTGCCGTGACAACCAAGATTCCTTTTTTTTTCTTTTTCAGCCCTGACGTCGATCTTTCAGGCCAGCTGCGCATCCTTTCTTTTATCTTATTTCCTCTTCTAATATGTATTTTAACTAGTTTCAATTTGTTTTTGCTCAAATTAAATGTAGAAGTCCTACATAATATTCAAGACTGTTTTTAAAACTGTATTTATTATCTTTAACTTAAAAAATGGTGTTTTGCTATTATGTATCCCCCAATGATTTGTTTTCGGTTTTCTTGTACTTTAAATGTATTTAGGCAGTTTATGTTAATATCGGTCCTTGCTATAAATAAAGTTTTTTTTGTTTTGTTTTTTTAATAGAAACTCGGTCTCCTTGGCTACAACGCTTGGCCAAGGCAGATCTTACGTCCAACCGGAAGTTTATAAAAAATTTAAAATTCGCTGTATAGTTGTCTTTACTTAAAAATCTACCTAAAAGATTAGACTGATATTTTTGTGATTAGCATGTGTACTTGCCGATTTTCTTTGCCTTACCATTTTATATTGTATATTTACATATGTCAAAACTCACTGTATTGTTTGCTATTTTTATTTATAAATATAACTGAGTTGCATTGAAACTTTGTTCAACTATTAATAAACAAATGGTAATTTTTTTTGAAGGTGGTTGTCACCTTCTCATAACCACCCCCAGTTTTTGAAAGCCTGATTGAGTTCAAGATAAAATTATTTATTTTATAATTGAACCACCTGTAGACAGTTTGCAAGTTTTAAGCGTGTGTATGATTCTGAGCTAAAGATGAAAAATCACATGTATTTAGTTCCAAGGAGAAGAAGGAGTGATAGGTATCCGGGGCATCATCAACCCCAAATTCATGATGTGTAGAGCATCATGTTTTAGGCGACTATTAAATCAGATATTACTAACTTTGGGTTAGGTCTGTTTAGAAGAACCTACCCATGTTTTTCTTCCTGATAAATGTCCTTAAAGGTGGGTTAAATTTTCACAAAGGTGGTTCTCAAGCTTTTTTTTTTTTAATTTTTATTTTAACTGAGTGCACTCACACATGACTGAAAGCTGCAAAGGAAAAAGGTGCCATCATGCATTTCTGGTAGCACCAGTTTCTGTTAAGAGGATCGTGGTTTATGATGGTTTACGTCACTGTGTTTGTGGTTTATAGACTCAACCATTAGTGAGGTGGCTGTTTTCATTTCCGTAAAGCTGCAGTAGCTGTCACTGTGAAGGTGGTTAACTCTGCTGTTATCACTACAAGGGAAGCATTGAAATAAAACTGAGATGTTCCCATGGTTTTATTCTGTGCTGGTAAATTCTAGCAACATACAAAAAAAATTTTTTTGTTTCCTTTCATGTTTACGGGTTGCATAAGATGCTACTGGGGGGCACTTACTGAGAAATAGGTCAAAAGCCACAGAGTCCCTCTTGCACTGCCAGCTTCTTAAACACAGGGGGCCTTCTAATAAAAGTAGTCTTGAAAAGCAAGTAAAGAATGCCAAGTTTTTACACCCGAATCGATTTAGTTGAAGAATACACATGTAAAGCTTCAGGTCAAGTAAACCAAGTCACCACAACAGTTAATGATCTTTCCTTTCACTTTATTCATGATGTAGCTTCCAAACAGTAAATATTACATCACACACACAGGGACACTGAGCTAGTGTCTGTTATGGATATGACAACATTTAAATGCTTTTGCAACATTAAACAGACAATGTGGATGACTGAGCTGAAGGCCTTGTCTTTGGGAATGTATAGGTGGTATGGTGCTGTTCTCTCCATGCCAACAACAATAACTTAAATTACAATATTTACAAGTTTTACAGAATTAGTAACGTAAAAGTGTAAAAAGAAATCATTTGGGTACGTCGTTTAGCAAACATACAAAACAAATTAACCAAATAGGTGACAGGTTTCCTGATTGAGTGCACCAAAGTAAAAACTACTCTTCACTTGCACTCTCTTAGGTATCTCGAGTTTTGCACCCGTTGTCTTCATGGTGCTTTTGAGTCCTACTGGAGACAAACATCTTTATGATTGTATGGGACAGTAAAAAGTGACACATGCTTGAGGTTTTGTTTTTGTTTTTAAATTACGAGGGATCTGAACAGAGCAGCAAGTGCAGAGACAGGGAGCCCGTAGATGATTTGATTTGTGGAATGTACACTTAAACATCTGCATACATGTAGAGCAAAATCTGCATTTCACAGAAACTTGACAAAGGGCAACAAAGAAAATGCACACAAAGGATATGTTGATGAATCTCTCCTCCATTCTTTTCTGCTGACAGGCGTCACTGTAAACGGTCTTCAGACGTGACCACACAACCCCACCTTCATTAACTTGTAAAAGCTCGAGAAATTACACGTTAGGGGAAAGAAAGTACTACAGGTCCTAGATGTGCCACTTTTTATTCCTCAAAGTGGTATTTTACTTTTAGCTAACCACATCCACGCATTCAGTTGGAGTCAAAATTAAAATATTTCCCATGTTACGGAGCTGTCACAGCTTCATCCGTGGCACCACAAACAGCACTGCTTCACAAAACCAAAGCATGCAAACAAACTCTTCTTTAAAAACTTTTGTTTTTAAAGCAGCTGAAGGAGATTTTTCAGCTGGACCGCATTTTAGGTTGTTGGGATGAATGTCAAAAAGCTCAATGTAAAAAAACAAATAAAAAAAACCCCACACAAATCTTAGCACTTCAACATGTCACTTTTCAGAAGTCAAACAAAAGGTAAAAAAAAAACCCTTACCCACTACAATAAAATAAAGCACAAACACAATCAATGCATTTTTTTTTGTTTTCAGTGTAAAGAAATCTCTTTTCCATTTTCTTCAAATAGAACTCTCTCATAGCTTATATCATCTCTTTGTCAACACTCCCACATCTAACATTACATTTTGACAGTAAATGTATTACAACTAAAACTGCATTAAAAACGTATATAAGCAGATCTCCTGTCATAAACAAGTCAAAGTATCTACAAAAACTGGACACGTTTACCATATTCCACTCACGGTCTTTCTGTACAGTACTTTAACAGTGCAAAAACATTCAGACTTCAGCCCCAAGATCAGCCTAAATGTTAAATATCTAACATTCAGTCTAATATTTATGCTGTTTCTCTCCAGACAGCCCCTACATTCAGATTTGATTATACTTGCTAAATGAGTTGACAGATAAAAGATTAAAAGACAGAAAAAAAAAGTGGAATTCATGTGAAGGCATAACCAGCCCCAGCAGCACCTAAGCTTCTGTATACCTGAAGAATATAGTCCAGGTTATTGCAGCATTTTTAACATGATTGTGATCAAAGATGCTAAGAGACCACGTTCAGCCCCTTCTGAATTAAAAGCTATACCCACGCTTTAGCGCTGGGTAACGAGTGTTTTCTGGACCCATTCTCTGCCTTAATACCAGCCACCTTTTAGAAAACTAATCAAATTAATCCCTTCGACACCGCACGTTGCAAGCAAAAAGGCATGGTCTTTGATATTAAGCAAGTATAGAATCATTAAAGTGTCAGATAGTTTTTTCTTCTTCTATATAGCAGTTTAGTTACCTAAAGTTAATCTAAAGCAAACACACATACACAAAAAACAAAACTTTGAAAGAAAAAAAAAAAAAGAAGTTATTTTGGCAACGGTTTTGAAACAGTGCGTGTGCACTTCTGGTCACCAGTTGTAGTAATGCCGCATACTGTACACTTCCTGTCAGCAAGAAAATAATTACATAAACCCCAAAAGAGGAAAAAAAAGCTTAAAAAAAAACAAAAAAAACAACACAGGAAAGCAAACAAGGGGTATAAAACAGATGTAGATTTGATGAGGATGATAGTCGGACAATCCAACTTTTTTTTTTTTTTTTTTAAATCAGCACATGTCCACAGCACTTCCCCTCCAGTTTGTGATCCTGTGTGACCATTTTGTCTATAGTTGCGCACTGCAAGGTCATAGCAAGGATATCTGTTGATCTTCAAAAGCTATGCGTTTAGATAAGTACCATATGTGGCTAATGTGAATACTTGGAAATAATTGCTCCTGAATGCGATACTTGAAGTGAGGGGAGTCTTCTTGGCATTTTCAGAGCCGGAAGCAAAATCCTCTTTACGTCCAACACGTGTTTGGAGAACCATGAGAGGCGTGTGGAAATTTGGTTAGTAATGTGCGGGGCGCAAACAACTGTCATACTTTCCACATTCCCCAAAATAGTGCAGGGCTATCATATACAGAGCCCTGCCTGCAAAGCTGTGAGGCGCCGTTCAATGCACTCTTTACCTGCAGACACAAAGCAAAGGGAAAGAGAAAAAAAAAAAGCACAAGTCATGATAAAGCAGCCTATCTTACTTGACTTTATTACCACAGGACCGATGAAACACTTTGAATTTATCTGCACAGATTCCCACCAATGAGAGTGTTAGCTCGAGGAACATTCCTGAATTAAATGGTGGTTCTTAGCTGCTGATGCTGAGTGGAGACATTTTCTGTTACTGTGATACGGTGATACTTACATTTGCTAACACTGATGATGTCATCCTGTCCAGTGAGCAGCAGAGACAGGCCCTCCATCAGTAAGAGAGCTTTGTGGTAGCGCAGGACTGATGCTTCCCCCTGGTGGAACATCTCATCCAGTGCAGCAGCCTGAACCTGAGAGGACAGAGTGCTCAGGTCAAAGGTTTGATCTTGTTTTGAGTAAAATATTATATTAAATAATATGTCAAATGCTAACCACACAAAAGGGGGGGGCTGTTAAGCTTTTAATGTGGCAGAACAGTTAAGAGCTGACCGGAAAGCTGGGAGAGAAAGTAGTGGAAAGACAAGACAAGCCGGATTCAAACCCAGGCCTCTACAATAATATTACGGCATATGGGTTGCCTACTCAACCCTGGTGAGCCAAACCAGCACCTTGACAAAGATACTTTTATATCTAAAGATTCTTTGGTCAATTTCCCCCTATGTTCTCCTCTATTTCTCAATTATCCGACTTTTCTTTCGGTTTACCATCTGCACA